CAATCACAAGGAACTGAACTCTGCCAATGAGATGATTGAGCTTGGAAGAGGAGCCCACACCCCAGCTAAAACTTTAATCTCAGTTGTCTGGGATCCTGAACAGAGAACCAGTGCATTTTGTATGGACTCCTATCTCATAGAATTGTGATGTTTTAGGAAGTCAAGCTTATGGGAATTTGTTAGTCAGCAGCACAGAAGACCTGTATACACTCTGAGCTAGGCTTCATCATTTTATAGACAAGAAGACAAAGACTCAGGAGGATTGTGCATTTCCCCAAACTCATATAGCTTGTAAATGGCAGAGACAGGTTTAAACCAAGTTGCTATGACTTGAGTACTCTTAACTGCCATGTTTACTTCCTCTCTGTAGGTTTGTTACTCAAATGTCAGGCCGCTGAGGTAGGGGCCACAGATAAATGGGGAAGAGATTAGGGAACTGTGTCTGTTGGCCTGAGTGTAGATGTACGGTAAGATCAGAGAATCAACTGAGATCTGAGACTTACTCTACCAGCTGTGTGCCCTTGGGAAAGTCATTCTGAGCCTCAGTTTTCTTTTTAGCTGCAGGGCTGCAGCGATGATTCCATCATCGTGTGTGAGGGTAAACCATAATAGGTGAAGTTCATGGGGAAGACAGAGGCGCCTGGATGTCAGACAGGTGTAGTTTGCTTTTCTTGATAACTGCAAGTCTCAATGTCTTTGGTCTATACATTAGATATGATCTCCCTAATGGTTTGTTTTGAGAGAGATTAAAAATACATCTTCTTTGGGGAGAAAATGATTCCTTATTATCTTTATTTGGAAATTACAGGATAAGATGGAATGCAATTTTTTCCTTCTTTTAAAAAATTCTTTAAAAGTCAATTGTTAAAAGCCAAAGTAGCCAGGCATGGCATATCTGTAATCCTAGCACTTGGGAGGCTGAGGCAGAGATCATGAGTTCGAGGCCAGCTGAGCTATCTCAAAACAAAACAAAATGAGTAATAACAATGTCTTGTAGAATTCTGTAATATATAAAATTAAAACATGAATAAAATAGCACAAAGGCTAATTAAAGATATATAAAGAATTATACTATTTTAGGTTTTTATATTATACATGAAGCATTATATTAATTCATGGAAAACTGTGGCAAGTTAAAGATATATTTTTAATATGTAAATAACCAAAATATGACGTGAAGGGATATGCCTTTAAGAAGCCACCAGAAGAGATGAAAAAAACAAAAATAAAAAATACTTGAATAAGTCAAAAGAACTTGGAAGAGAAAAACAAAGGAAGAAAGAACAGAGAAAATTAAACAGCAAGAAGATGGTAGGGTTTAAATCTAATGAGCTCACTAATTACATTAAATGTAAATAATTCAAATACTCCTATTAAAAGACAGAGATTATCAGACAAGATTTTTAAAAAACCAAGATCTTCAAAAGGTTGTCTTGATATATAAAGACACAGTATAAAATAAAAAGGGATAAAGAAAGACATACGATGTAAAACTATGTAGAAGAACACTGGTGCAATTATTTGAACATCCAAGCAAGGCTTCATGTCACGGAGTCTTGCCAGAAATAGTCATTTCATAATGACAGGAGGCCAATTTATCAAAAGACTTAAGAATTCTAAATATGTGTGCATCTTAAATCTTATCAACATAAGCAACAGATACTCCCAAATTTATGATGGGGTTACATCCGGACAAACCTTTTATAAATTGAAAATATTCTGAGTAAAAAAATGCATTTGGATACCTTACCTACAGAACAGCATAGCTTAGAAATGCAGTGCGCGGTAGAGACCTGGTCTCTCCTGTGGCGTGCCATTATTGTCCAGCATCCTGAGAAAGTTGGACTAAATCTCAGTTGCCCAGGAAAAGATCAAAATTGAAATTCTGAACTGTGGCTTCTACTAATGTGTACTGCCTTCACGCCACCCTGAAGTTGAACATTTTTAAGTTGAACAGCTGTAAGGTGGAGACTGTGCATAAAGTCTGCTCTGTCATAAATTACATGTAAATTATACTACAATAAAAAATATATGTGGAAAACCTTTGCTTTCAAAGAACTCATCATTCGGTTAAGGAAACAGAACTATACAAGATATGAAAAAAAAATAATACAAAGGGCATTCTAGGCAATAATTTATTTTTTTAATTTTCTAATTTTTTTGGTGGTACTGGGGTTTGAACTCAGGGTCTCATGATTGTTAGGCAGACACTCTACTGCTTGAGCCACTCCACCAGCCCACAAAGGAGATTCTAACCCATTATGTGACCGTCAGATAGGACTGGGAAGAGGAGGGACAAGGACTGCCCAGGAATCAGAGTGTGTGACAACACCTACATGGAAGAAGGGTGAAGTATGAACAGATCAGAGGGGGCAGAAACAGGATGGTGGGAAAGGTATGAACAAAGGCTGCAAGGGACAGTGTGGTTATTAAATCCTGGGCCTTCCCTATATGAGCTCACTAATTGGAACTTCACAGCAAATCTGTCCAACTGGGAGGAGTGCGATCCTGTTTTACAGGATGAAGTTCAGAGAGGTTATGTACTCTGCCCAAGGTTTTGAGGCTTACAGGATTATACTTGGAGGTAGGAACTAGGATATGCATGACCCCAAAGCCTGTGTCCACCCAGTAAAGGGTATTTCACTTGTGAAAGACACATTTGCTGTACAGCCATGAGCAAGAAGCATGGTGGTAGGAAAAGAAAGCCTGGTCAGTGCCATGAAGTATCTTTTCTGAGTTCACATGTTTAGAATTGTGCTCTGACAGGAGGCGATAAACAGCTGATTTCACTCACAGGGCTCTGGGCTGTTCATAAACCGTGAGAGTGTTTATGTCACTTGGGCAGCACTCCCCAAGTGAATTATAGCCTTTTATGCACTGTGTACAGTATTTTTCACAGGACAAAGAAACAGGGCACGCAACGAATGCTATGGTTACCCTTCTCTCTTTCCACTGGTCTTCTCCAAGCCTCTCCACCAGTCTCCAGCCTGCACTGAAGAAGAGTTCTTGGTTGTTTACCCATTACCTGCCTCTTTTCACAGCCCAGAGCAGTTATTCAGTTCAATTAAAGAATGGAGCCTTTAAACTCTTTCTTCTTGCTAGCATGAGCTGCTGGCGTTCTTTTATTACATTTAAAATGGATCCATCTTCACTATGGTAGAAAACAGACTTTTTTTAATGTTACTTCAGATGTTTTCTTTAGACTGGTGTTAACATAAAGCAAATGTCTCTTGCAACTCTGAACCAATCTGTTAAGATAAACAGGCTTCACTTATGATATTCCTAAACTGAAATCACAGGCTTGTGGTCTGCAGCTCCTTGAAGATTCAATTCATACATGCTAAAATGTCTACTTAAGAAACACACACACACCAAGATAGCTTTGCCATGGAAACCACAAAGACATGTCTGGTTCAGACTCCACAGCACATACCACAAATAACGGCCCATCTTCTAAGGGCAGAGCCAATGGGTATGAAGAGAAAGCCCAGAAAATTAAACTGCAATACCTCAAACATAAAAACTTACTTTATATTTCCTTTTTGCAGTTGCATTTCAACATATGCAAGTTTTAACCATTGTTACTAGTTATAAATATATTTTTTTCCTTAAATAGAATTTCAGACTTGGGTGTCATGGATGTAAAGGGAAAAAATAGGAAGAAGGGGCACACTTAAGTGTCAGGTCACAACAACTCTAGGTTCCATAGAAGAATTTAGTATGGTCTATCCAGTCTGTCATTATTTAAAAGCACTGGGCCTGCAGTAGATGAAGGTCTGTCTGACAGACTAGGGGAAATGTCAGGAGATCCCTTGGAGGGAAAGGGTATGAGGGAGGGGGAGGCAAGAGCAAGAAGTCCTACCATTCAAGAAAATTTTAGGCTAGGAAGGCCAGGCTGTGTTAGTAGGTACTTAAAACTGTCATAAGTTTGGTATGATTTATCTTCCTTGCTGGGCTACAAAATCTGTGAGGTCATTGGCAGTTTCTAATTTGTTTATCATTACATCCCTAGAGTGGAGCACAAAGCCTGGAACCTGGTGATGCTTAAGAAATACTGGATGAGCAAATGTAGAGGATGCTTAATAGACAGTCCTCATTTGTATGATTCTTTGAGTCTGATCATCCTTCAGCTGGGATCACAGGTGTGAGCATATGGCTGTTGAGAATGGTAAAGTAATAACCACTCTATCATTTATTTTTGGAAATTACCGTTGCTTCAGTCTGGGGGGCAATGGTCCGCAGACTGGTGTTCCAGACACTAAAGTCTTACCTATAAAACCGCTCAGCATATTTCTATATTTGCCTATTCCATATGACTGAGGTGACAGCCTTCCACACTAAGAGCCTGTAAGCAACACCTGGACCCCTAAACTATAAACACCAGCTAACGTCAGTCTTTATCAGATCACTACTTCCCTAGTGATATTAGCAGGTCTAAGCAATCTATGTTTATTCAGTCAAGAAATACACACGTCCTTCTTTGGGTGATGGCTGTGCCACAAACTGCAGACTTGCAATGATGTATATAATTCAAAGAGATTCAGTTCTGTGTGAAAAAGTAGCTAATGAATTCACAGATTGACCACTAAGTGATAATTCCTATTTGTGTACTGTCACCTGAAATTTAATGCTTAAAAAATATTAAAGTGATTGCTAACATATTCATCATTGGCATTATTTATCTATTAGTACTTCTCTAAATAGGGAGGTATATTTCTGATATATTCTATAATTCATTAAAAAAGTAGTCATGACCAATTTTAGCAATCAATAGAATCAATAGAAACAGGACAATGATACCCTTTCAAATACAGGTCAGTTTCTTCTGGATAAGGCGGGACAAGGGGATGGGCAAACTTCCTGTAAAAGGCCATTAGTATATAGTTATAACTTTTGCAGGTCTCCGTTTCAACTACTTACTCTGCCAACTGTGTCATGACACCAGCCACAGTTAAGAAATAGAATGTTTCTCTCCAGGAAATAGCAATGGAGTCACTTACTTTGCTCTCTTGGCCATTTCATTTCCATCCCATCTGGGGCTGTATGGATAATTTTTTTGGGCCTGAGAGTAAAGCTGTCCACTGTTGGTGAAGTGATAGACGGACTGAAATGTGAGAGTTGGCTGATCCCGAGGAAAAAAGAGGGGCAGGTCAACTGGAAAGAGAAGAAAGGAAAAGAAACTTAGAACTGAATATATCTTCACACTTTTTTTTTGGCGAAATCCAACAAGACTCTGTTAGACCCACAAATACCGCTTGAGGCTTAGATGAAAGGTGTGGAGTAAGGGACAATGAAATACAAGGTGTCTCACCTGTCTTCAAGGAGTTTAGCTTAGTTAGGGGAATCTCACCTGTAAGCAACTGAGGCATGCAGTATGGATGCTGAAAGAACACCAGGGAGGGCTGGCAGAGTGGCTCAAATGGTAGAGCACCTGTCTAGCAAGTGTGAGGCCCTGAGTTCAAACCCTAGTACCATCAAAAAAACAAAAAATAGAAGAACATCATGGAATGGTTTGGAAGCCTAGGTAGAAGCATGCCTGTGCCCCTACATCTGAGCTCCCTGGCTCTACCTGTCCATCTGCCATGGCAGAGTCAACTATACAACTGTTTTAAATCCCTATTACCTGGTAAACTCCAGGGTGGGGTCTTCTTCATCTTCCTCATCTATAATTTGATGCAGGATGGAGGATGTTTTGCAAGTATGGACTTGGAAAAGGGACAAAGAGGGCAGGCGATAATCTTTCTACTTTATAAGACATGGCAACCAGACCACCAGAAGCAATAGTTATCACGCTGCTTCTAATCAAGCAGTGAATTTTGATACTCAGCAGTTTCTGTTTTTTCCCACTTGTTAGCACACATATTTAAATTTTCTAAATCAGAGGGAGCTCCTTAGTGGTACACAGGGGTGAGTCTGAATCCTGAACACGCCTGCTGGGTCAGATGGCTAACTCTAGTCCTTGCTCTTAATGTGTCTTCTCTGATTTACCTTTTCATTTCAGGATTATTTAACTCAGTTTTTAGAAATAAAATGACTTGCTAGTTTTAGCAGAGGTAAAACCATTATCATACACAGATTGTTTTAACAGCACATTCTTTAAGGTAGATTGTATGTTTGTGAGACTGTTATCTGTTTCTAGGACAAAGAACAGGCCCATTATCAAATATAACACAAAGTATATAGAATTTTCTAGCTTTACAGAGTACTTTTTATATACTCTAATTTGTTCCTTGAAACTCCATGAAACAGACATTTTGATCACATTATTTAACAGATGAGCAAACTTGAGACTCCAAGGGGTTTATTAACTTGCTCATGTCATAGGTAGGCAGGCGCAAGAGTTAAATCTTGATTCAAATCCTACTGTGTGACATTGCCTGGTCCTGCTCTGCAGGACACTGGGGAAACCTGCTTACAACTCACCACTATGTCACAATTGCAACTGAGTTGTGAAGAACGCACAAGGTTCATCTTCTTGGCTACATGACACAGATTACTTAAAAGAATATGTACTATACAGTGCTACATTGGTCATCATCCCAGTGTGGGGTAATACTGAACTTGGACTAGGTCCTCTAAGCCCAACATAACTTCTTGAAGGAAAAGTCACATTCACAGCAAACTTTCAAAACCAACAAAAAAAAATCCCAAGAAACAAACAAACAAAAAAACCTGTCCAGTTGGCAGGGGCTCTCAGCCCTCTGAGCACACTTGACTCTGATGTTATTTGACTCAGCGCTGCAGGGGCTTTCTATGGATGAATCACACCCCGACCAAAGAAAAGAGGCAAGAGTGAGAATGCCCACTTTTTAGTCACATTTGCCAGGAGCCACGTAAGGCAATTTCAATACATGTCTATTTATGCCAAAGCAGAGATTTCATAGCATATAGGAAGAATATGAAATAGGAAAAAGACCAATCCAAATGATAAATAACTCAATTTGGAAAATCATTTTGGGTCCCTTCACAGTACAAAGCTTCATCTGTAACATCTTCAGTCAGTTTGAACAAATACTGCTTTCTAAACTTTTTCTATCTTTTCTGATTTCTTCTCATTACTTTTCAAAAATATACTTTACCTTGACTTTGACTGTAATTGTTATGTTACATTCAAGTTTCCAAGTATAAAATGAGATTTGGATTAACATCCAAAGCAGTCATTAATAATAGAAAAGCATTTAACATGCTAGCTTCCCTTCAAAAAATGCAACAATTTTAAATAATAAAATTCAGTGGCAATAATTTGTGAGTATAAAGTAAATACAATCATCATTAACTAACAAAAGCAATGCAGAAAATACTACAAGCTATGTGATTCTCAAACTACTGGCTTTTTTGGACTTTGGAATACATTCTTCTAAAAACCTTTTTTTTTTTGGGTACTGGGGTTTGTACTTGGAGCCTCTCCCAGTCCTTTTTGATGTTTTTTTTCGAGATAGGATCTCATGAACTATTTGCCCCAGCTGACTTCTAAGCCTCCTAAGTAGCTAGGATTACAGGTGTAAGCCACTGGTGCCAGGCTTTTTTTGATTTTTTTCTTAAGGGACTGGGTCTTGCTATGTTACCCTAGCTGGCTGGTCCCAAACACTCCTGGACTTAAGTGGTCCTCTGGCCTTAAGCCTCCCAAGTAGCTGGGATTACAGATGTGTAAGATGTGTACTACAGCACCTGGCTGGAATATATTCTATTTCTCTTCTCGTTATTTTTTATAGAAATGAATTGCTAGTATTAGTATTTTGATATGCTGAGAAATTTTTTTTTTTACCTATTTTTGAACTATCTTCTGTGACCTGAATGCCCAATGAGCATCAGAAATAATTCAAAATGTGAATGCAATTTATTTATCTAGGGAGGTGAGAGGTTCTGATGTCTTAAAAATCCCAACAAACTATATGCTGACATGCATCATGGTCCCCAAAAGCATTGATTCTACGAGCATGTCTCCATGGAGACTCTTGTCTAACATCATGCAGTTGAAGCCCATGTTAAAACTTGAATTACTTTCTCTGTGCACGCAGAAACTGTGTTACTACGGGAACAGGAATGGCCTGAGTACTTCAGAGATAAAATCAGTAGTGCATGTGTTAATTCGTGTATGAGAAGAGGAAAATTAAAAAATATAAATATCGTGTTCCACTTAACTAAGTTTTATCCTGTCTGTAGCAGTCAATAGTTAACAAAAGGAAGGCTGCTTTAGAAATGTTCCATGCATGAAAAGGAGTTAATAAGTAAAATATTTATGAGGAGTACTTTGCATTTTTCTTATAAGAATTATTCAAATGGTACAAGTTAGTCAGAATTTGACAAAAACAAAAACTTGTTTTCTTCTTCCCCAAATGTTCCAGTCACTTGCTTACGGGTTAACCAATGAGTTTTCTGATGTGTAGTAAAAAAATTACATTTGGCCTTCAAATAGCCAACTTACTTTCAAGTTTAGAACCTTGTGGGGTCTAAGCAATTTGGGCTCATAGTTGTGGCTATACCAAAACTGAACACTTTTAGCCATTTGCTTTCTTGGCACCTAGTGGCTTAGGTTCAATTCTGGAGCAAAATCCTCGCTTTGGTTCAGTTACTTCTGGTCAGTGTCGGTTGACAATGGCTTCCACTTCCTTCTTCCTGCACAGGGAGACTGACTTTTGGTGAGCTTCCTGTCCACAGAAGGGACAGCCCTCGCTTGTTTAGTACGTTGTAGCAACCATTTCTGAAGCACTTCTTTCTTCAAAAACTTGTTGAGACAAGTCGCACCAAACACTTCTGATTCTGTACAAATCAGGCCGTTCTCAGAACTCGTCACCAGGCTCAGGGCCTGGGAGAAGGCTGGGATAATTAGGCCTCACGATGGAAGTCGCCTTATGACAGGCTCTACTCAGAGCTAGTGGTGGTTCCAGGCATTGACCAGCTCCGCAGCTTGGAGAGGAAGCCAAACACCCGCAGAAAGTATGCTGCTCTTCTCTACACCAAGGTGAGGTGCAGGTAGGCGGCCATGTTTGCCTCCCTACCAAATCATCTTTCCAGTCCCTAAATGCTCATCCTTTCACCATATAAAGACTCCAAATGCCCAACAGTGCCCCCTTCTTTCCCCCCACCCAAAAGAAATGCTACGCTAAGCATCTGAGTCACAGGTCCCTCCGTCAGGTACTCAGAACTTTTCAGGTATAGCTCTAGCAACTTTGATTGTGTGATTTTTTTTTTTTCAGAAAAGAATCCCCAAACCAATCTTAAATCATGGCAAGATGAGGCAAGGGACTTTAATAGCAATTGGTGATAGTTACCAGGAAAGAGGCGGGGGCATGTCATAAATAAAAGCAGAATTAGGAGAGCAAAAAGAACCCTGGTCTGGGGCCATTCGGTGTAGGAACAAAACTCTCTATACATCCCGATCATGTGTCAAGCTGATCCTACACAGTGACCCCCCCCCCCACCCTCAATCTTGGTAACTGCAGAGACACCCTCGGTGGCCTAACAGCAAAGTCCTTCCTCGCACCCAGAAAATTTGACTCACTCCTGCCCATGGGACTTGAGGGGAAGTTGGTGAGGGGTGTTCTGATTAATATTTTCCTCCCTGATTAAAGACATGTGTAAAGAGAAGCCCCCATGTCACTCCAGTCTTCAAATCAGTCATGTGAGGACTTGAGGCTTGGAGCTGTGGCACCTACATTGTGACCATGAGGAGGTCAGGCTGGCATCAATGAGCTAGTGAGTTCATGATCCCCAGAACTGGATTTCTTGTTCTGTGAGATGATTCCAAGGATTCATTACTTAAACCTCTTTTAATCAAGTCTTCTCCATAGGTATGGTCAAAGACATCTGAGGACACACTATTTATTAGAGCTTCTGTTCAAGAAGGCAGGGAAACTGTATAATCTATTTCAGAAGATTTCCACAGAGCACAGTTAAAAAAACATTCAGGAGACATAAATAGGAAAGTTTTAGTTGTCTGGAAAATTCAGTTTTGTGGGACTGTTCAATCTTTGAAAATGCCAAACAAATGAGGGGTTAACCATAATAGCTTCCCTGGGAGTCACATCAAATATTTCCTCCATTATTCACAAGCTGGTCATTGTGTCGCCTCTTCAGACCTTACAATTGTGTGCCACTGTGCCCGCCATGCCTGCCCCGCCCCATGATCTCAGGTTGGTAGGGGAGGCGCTGGG